ACACACACACACACACACACACACACACACACACACACACACACACTCAAAAACAGGAAGAAGAGAGAAATAAAGAGTAATGAAAAATAAAAATTTCTTTTTTTTACAAACTTGAGTAGAACAGTTAATTTTAAGATCACTGAAAATAAGAACATACAATTTTTTTAAAGATTAAATTTTTTTTAAAGATATGCAAAGTGAGGTCATGTAGTTAGCATATGGGTAAATATTTTTATCTAAAATATCAGAGCCTTAAAATGGTATGATGTTTAGGCTCCAAGGAGTGAAAAGAAAAATACCTGGAGCCCACACATTAAAAAAAAAAAAATCACTGATCTCCTGAAATTCAACTTCAAACTTTGGTCAACACTCATCTCAAGGAGCATTTAAAAAAATTAATAAGTGATGGATATTAAGAGATTATGTCATCACCATGGCAAGTTTCAATATTTCTGAATGATTTCTGGTTATTGGTGAAATGCAATTGATCACTATATAAAAATATAACCCAATATTAGAAATGTTAACATTTTAACTGTTATATTTTAATAACCTTTGGTCTGTCACCTAATCAAAGACCTTTGGAAAGCTTCACTATACCATATTCATGGATAAAACTTTGTGTAAGTGCATGTTTAACTAGTAAATTAATTGTGGTAGGTAAATCATTTTTTAATCTTAGAGGAGTCTTTGGGCTTTTTCTTCTAGTAGGTTACATACATCTAAATATCTTGTAACCCATTTTGTTATTATAGAGTTATAATTTTGTCCAATATGGAAGTTTCTGGTCCTCCCTGGGATCTTTGTTTTGAAAAATAGTGTTTGTTCTTTTCAACTCTTTATGCTATTGAATATAGTACCAGGCAGATTTCTTAGGGTCTTGTTAGAACATTAATATCCATAGTGTGAAATGGAGGGAAATTGACATTGCTAGATGACACTAATGCCTCTTAAAGGAGATATCTTAATGGTGTTACATTTTCCCCTTAAATATTATTACATTGTTCAGACCCAAGAGACACAGCAAAAATAACTTCAAAAAAACTTTCCCACGACATCCTGTTGTCAATCAAACATTTAGAAGAGCAATTCTCCATTTCTACCTTTCATTTTCATAAAACTATTCTTGAATTCGTTTGCTGAGAAAGTATAAGACTTTGGACCAGTCATTTAAGCCCTCGGGGCTTTAATTTTTCTCATCTTAACATTAGGAGTTGGTTTAGATGATTTTAAGATTTTTTTCAGCTCCAGAAGTCTAGAATCCAATGCTAAGGTCTAGAGCATTGCTTGATCTGGAGCCTTCTACAGTCCAGTGGTTGGTATGGGATTTTAACACTTTTCTATTAGTCATGTTAAAACTTCTTAGAAAGTTCACTTCAAATTCATAGGGACATTCAAGTTTGCCATGTTCTGTGGACTTCTCAGCTATCACTTGCATATCTTCTCTCTCTTTCTCTCTCTCTTTCTCTCTTTCCCTCTCCCTCCCTTGCTCTCTCCCTCTCCATCTCTCCTTCGTTCCTTCCTTTCTTAATTTAGCCCCAGGTTTTCATGAGTGATTAGGGTTTCAAACTTTCAAGACAAATTTATCTGGAGTTTGCAATGTATTTGAGTTTTCACGTTTCTAAGTTAGTGGTTCCCTTCCTGTTCAATATATGTATGACAGGCGTTTGCTTTTTTTTTCTTTTACCAGCACAAGGAAATACTTAATGTGACAACAAAAAATTACACTGTAGCTTGCCCACAATATCTACTTGATGACTTTCTGCACATCACTCAAGATCTAGTCTAGGGAATTTACTTTTTTCATGCGTTCTTGAAGTATTAATTGAGCACATAATCAATTTATCTATCCAGTTACTTATCTCATGCTTTCCATTCCCATAAAGTATGCTACCAAGTATGTTTGAGTAACTTAAGTTCCTACTTGTTAAGTAGCTGGTGTAATTTTTCAAACTCCCCAGCTTTCATGGTTAGATCATGTAACATTTCTATCTACAGAGCACTTCCTTTATATGAGAAGAATTTTACTATGGTAGTTCATCACTCTTCATGTAAAATGTCCCTTTTAGCTTATGAATCTGAAGTGAGGCAGGGAGAAAGTCAAAGCAGAGAAATGCAAAAAAAAAAAAATCTCAGTTACTAAAGTGACTGTAGAGGTTGTGAAGACCTGACTAAGAGCCCCAAGTTGACTTTGGTTCAACTAAGATCACATATGTGTTGTTACATTTCCAATTTATTTCTTTTTTCTACTGTGACCTGTAAAGTTTTTTCAATTTGTGCTTTATTTCAATCTTAAGTATTTAACAGAAAATCTTATCTTACTTGAATTCCTCCATCAGTGATTCCATAACACTCAGATAGAGAAAGTTGCTTCAATTTTTTATGTCTGGAAAGCATATTCAAACCCTAAAAATATTTAATATAAAGATCATTTTGTGATTATAGTTTAGTATAGAGGATGTATTTCCAATAACTATTTATATACAAACTAACAATATAAGAAATTTATGCAAACTAAAAAATTTAGCTTCTTATATTTCTTTACACTTAACAAAGCATAAGATCACTTTGGTTTGGTAATGTCATTAAGTAAAATTTTCAGATTGTCTCTTTTTTAGCAAAAAGATTTCCAGAATCCCAGGAATAGAAAACTCCTTAGGAAGTTATTATCGTGCCACCTGTTTCCAGATAAATCAGTATCTGAATCAGTATAAACAAATCTAACTTACAACTTTATTCTGAAGACATTTTATGTGGCTAATGAATCTATTTGTGGCATAAGAATAAATTCTTAATTATGCCTAACCTAAACATCCACACTTATTTAGCTCATTTTATAATAATTAATACAATACATCCATACTTATTTAGCTCATTTTATAATTAATATAATAATTCCCTTGAATAGAAAGGGAATATATCTTTATACAGAGGCCTAGCAATAGATAATGACTGACTAATACACCACTTCTTTTTCAGGTTAAAAGCTTTAAATTTTTTAAATTAAAAAATAGATTGCATTATTTATTATATGTGTGATTGTGCTGTCCTGTTTCTCAGTACTTTCCCCCTAAGCTTATTGGTGCAACACTCAGATGAGGAACTGACGAATATGGCTTACTGATGCCATCCTCTGTTTTGTATTAAGGATAGCATTACTTTTATAATTCCATAATATATGCGTCCTTAACCAGGTGGACAAGAGCAATTTTTTCCCCATTCTATGATTCTAGAGCTGGCTGGCAGGGAAAATGCGAGAAATGGCATATAGATTTGTCCTTTTTATATTTTATTTGCAGGGCAGGTTTATATTTCATTGCTCTTAAATATAACTTTGGACTATAATAAAAAATGGGTTATGCAAATTTTATATCCTGTTTTTTCCTCCTGATACACAGATTAGGCCCTTTCATTAAAAAAGAAAACTGGATTACTTATGATTTCTAATTTAATTTAATGGTTCTGCATATCAACCCCAAATAAAATTCCTCTATTCATTCTTTTAATTTTTTTAAGTTTTCATTTGCATTTATACTGAACTTATTTCTGTGCCATAGAATTTTTTTTCTTCAGTTTCTTCTGGGAAAACTTTTTATTCTGTACATCCTTGTTCTTTTCATTTTATTGTGACTTTGGATTTTTTTTACTGGGAGCACATGTTTTCTGCCTCCTTACTTCAAAACAAAGAATGACCAAGTCCTGTGGAGCTGTCACATATGGTCTGGGTTCCAGATGTGGATGCTATTTTATTCATGTGAGAAGAATTAGAAGAGTTTAAATGTTTCCCCAATTGAAACTAAATTGTTGGCACAAAAATATCAAGTAAGAGATGCAAAGTTTGTCTCTTTGCCTTATATTGATAATAGCCAAGTACATTTTAATATCCTATGGAAAATTTTTCCTATAAAACCATCTCTGAAGTTCACTTAGATTTTACTATTATGTAGTCAAGTTAGAATTTTTTAAGATGAGCTGTAAATGAAAGTGGTAAAGAGCATATATACAGTTAAATGTCACATTTAACTGTATATATGCTCTTTACCACTTTGTTAAAAATCATTAAAAATTAAAATATTAAAATGGATGCCATGCTCATCGCTGTAATCATTTATTAGGACATATGACCTCAAAATTGAATTGATCAGCATAATTAGCTATTAGATAATGCATGATGAGATACCACAATACATCTATTATGGCTACAATTTAAAAAGAGAGATAATAAAAGGTGTTGGTAAGGATGTGAACAAACTGTTATATACTGCTAGTGGAAGTGTAAAATGGACCTGCCACTTTGGAAAACAGCCTCAAAAAGTTAAACATAGAGTTATAATATTACCAACAATTCTACTCCTAGCTTTATACCCAAGAGAAATGAAAACATATGTCCGGGCAACCCCTTCAGGTCCCTTCCCACTGTGGGAGCTTTTCTGTCCTCTCAATAAATCCTGCTTTCTAAACAAACAAACAAACAAACAAACAAACAAGTAATATATGTCCAAAAACTTGTACACAAGTGTTTATGAGAGCATTACTCATAATAAAATCCTTGTATTTATAGTCAAATTATTTTCAACGGAAGCATCAAAAACATATACTGGGAAAAAGACACTCTCTTCCATAAACAGTGCTGGGAAAACTTGTTATAGAAGAATGAAACAGAACCCTATCTCTCACCAAATCAACTCAAAAGGTATTAAAGAACATAAGACCTAAAACTATTAGAAGAAAACATATAGGAAATGCTTCAGGACATTGATCTAGGCAAAGATTTATGGCTAAGACTTCAAAACCATAGACAACAAAAACAAAATAGACAATCAGGACTACATCAAATGAAATAGCAAAGGAAACGGTTAAAATGAAGAGACAACCTGTAGTATGGGAGAAAACATGTGTAAACTATTCATCCAACAAAGGACTAATGTCCAGATTATACAAGGAATTCAAGTAACTCAACAACAGCAAAACAAATAATCTGATTTAAAAGTGGGTAAAAGAACTGAGTAGACATTTCTCAAAAGAAGACATACAAAAGGTTAAAAAATGTATTTAAAAAATTACCAACCATTAGGGAAGTATAAATCAAAGCCACAATGAGATATCATCTCACCCCAGTTAGAATGGCTATTATCAAAAGGATAAAAATAATAATAAATGTTGGTGAGAATGCAGAAAAAATGAAACAACTTTGGGAACGTAAACTATTACAATGATCATTATGGAAAACAGCAAAGAGGTTTCTCTAAAATTAGAACTACTATATGATACAGCAATCCCACTACTGAGTATTTATCCAAAGGAAAGTAAATCAGTATATGAAAGGAATACCTGAATTCTCATGTTTATTGCAGTACTATTCACAATAGCAAAGATATGAAATCTACCTAAATGTTTATCAACAGACAAATGGATAAAGAAAATATGTTATATATACACAATAGAGTACGATCCAGCCGCAAAAAAGAATAAAATCCTTTCGTTTGCTGCAACATGGATGAGCCTGGAAGACATTCCGTTAAGCAAAATAAGTCAGGAACAGAAAGATAAATACCGCATATTCTCACTGATATGTGGGAGCTCAAAGTAGAGAGTCGAATGGAGGGTATTCAAGGCTGGGAAACGTAGGGGGGAAGACAGGATGGAAAAAGGATGATTACCGATTACAAAGTTACCCCTCAATTGGAGGAATGTTCTGCAGGTGTTCAGGTGTTCTGCTGCACTAGAGGGTGAAATGGTAAACTATAATTTATTGTATGTTTTTAAAATCTAGAAGAGAGAATTTTGAATGCTCACAACACAAAGAAATGATAAATGTTTGAGGTGACAGATATGCAAATTACCTTTATTTGATCATTACACATTATAATGGGGTGCCAAAAAATGTATACACATTTTAAGGGATGTTATCTATGTATTAATTTTCGAAGTTGAACTAAATTATGGTAGCAATGCATAGTATGACGTTCACACAACAGAGCTTCCACCATCTTCCTTGACTGTATTGCCTGACACATGGGGACGCTAGCATTCATTTGATTAATGCCATCTTTTGAGTGAATGTCATACTTAAAATGTGTGTACAGTTTTGGCACTCCTGTGTACATGTATGGATATATCACTCTGCATACCATAAATATGTACAATTATTGTGTCAACTAAGGATAAAAGAAAAAGGTAGAAATCACCCAAATGTCTATCACTTGATGAAAGAATAAAGAAAATGTGTTATACCCATATAATGTAATATTATTTGGTAATAAGAAGTATTGATGCATGCCACACTATAGATGAACCCTGAAAACATTATCCTAAGTAAAGAAGACAGACCCAATAAACCACATATTTTATGATTCCATCTATATAAAAAGTTCAGAATAGGCAAATATATAAAAACAAAGTAGATTAATGGTTGCCTGGGATAGTCTGGAGGGTGGGACAGGCACAGGGAATGACTGCTAATAAGAAGGAATTTTCTTTTGGGGTGATGAATTGTTCTGGAATTAGACTTAGTGATAGTTATACCACTCTACTAATATATTAAAAACCCCTGAATTGTACACTTTAAATTGGTAAGTTTTATGGCATGTGAATAACATCTCAATAAAAACGTTTTGTAATTGAATTAATAATGTAATCAATATAGAGCTAAATAAAAATTGGAAAATATTCCTACAGCATCCTTCATTTCAGGATGAATACAGATATTGCCCATTTTTCATATATTTTTGTTAGCAAGCTTCGGACCCTGATGATCAATCTATTAGCAAGGCAGAGAGCAAGAGATGTTATCATGCGCACCTGTTAGAAAAGTTATGACAAGACCTTTCTGCTATAAGTAAACACAACTTTGTAAATGAGCAACAACAAACCGAGCCAGCAGGAGGAGAGGAGGCCTCCACTAAAAATTGCCTCATTCTGATTATGGGAAGCCAGTTTCTCTGAACTAATGAGATGCACTATTCCAATTAACAGGATTCATTTTAATAGTTTTGTTTTGTTTTGTTTTTCATCAGAAGCTTTTTAGATTAGTGACCAAAAGAACATCAGAACTAGCTAGGTTAGGTAGATGAATATTCTATTTGGCGCCATGAGGTTAAAAAATGCTCCAAAATAGGAAATGTTCCCCGAAGCAAGCAGTGTTTGCATTTTACAGATTTTCTTTATACCTTTAGAAAGTCTTGAATCTTGGGTCTGGGCGAAATGCATTCATTCTTAACACATTATTTTATAAAAATTTATTTAGATGTATTACATTGATCAGGCTCTGGTATAGAAACCGGAAGTATGAAGGTCAATGAGGAGTTTTTTTGCACTCAAGGAGCCCCCGGTCTGACATGGAAAACATATCTGTACAATGGACCATTACAACCCAGTGAAAAGTAAATATTGTGTATCTTGTTGGT